CCCCCCCCACGCCTCTACTGATTGTACCGTTTGATAAATTGTACTCCTTGCTTCGTGGTTCAATAATCCTCCCTGTACCGTAATTGTGTGATCAAAGGCAGCCTTCTTCTACAGGCCCGGGCTGCAACTAGGACTTGATAAACGCTTGTTTGTGTACAGTACTACCTGTGGTTCTCGCCTCTCAACTTCACTTGCTGGATCACTGAGTCAGCCAACTATTGAAAGGCCAGTTCCCCAGCGATCAGAAAGCACACGATATAAGTTTATGACCTTGTTCCCCACCCCCACCTCACCCCTAGCAACCCATCTCTTCGATCATCAGCTCCTTGCAACCTTTGCTTTATAAACCCTGCCCTATCCCCTCCATTTGGAAATATATTCTCGGTTCATACCAAGGGCTATGTTTCCCAGTTTGCAAACTGTTACCTAAATAAACTCTCTTTTAAGTTTCTTTAAAAAGATATCACCAGATTTTTGTTTACAGGTGAAACTTTGCAGCTCTTACTTGAGTCCTCCTAGGTCTGTGATAATTTGAGTTTCAAGTTCTCAGTAATATATCTCTTGATGTATTACAGCTTATTTTACTCCCTTTATAGAATCTTTTTTGGTGAGAAAGCCGTTAAAATATGTATTTACCATCTAGTTTCATTATCAGGCTCTTGTATCGAAGCTGTACATGAAACTCCCTGTTCAAATTAAAGTCAGCGAATGTTTTGTAGATAAGCATTAACCTAAAATAAGAACACAAGTTTATCTAGCAGCCTGTAGGCAACCAATGAGACCAGTCATAGATAATCCCAAATTACCAGCAACTGCTGTGCATTATTCAGTTTTAACCTTTTAGATAGAACACTGGGAACTCAACTTCTGTTTGAATTTGTGTTTATATTCACAAAATCCAAATGTTCACTTTTTTTTTTTTTTATCAGAAAAGTGTTTGTCAAATAATGAGTAACACCTGCCTCATTATTTGGAAGGTACTGTGGGAAAATGAGAGATGAGTGGGCCATGACCCCTGCTCTCAGGGGGCTTATGAACTATGAAGAGAATGTATTTATATCAAGGTGAGCCAGTAAAGATCTGAAGGCTGTAGAGTAAAATCGCCAAAGCAGTGCTTTAGTTAAATTACAGAGCAGAAATCATGGAAGAGAGGGACATGGGCTAGAGGGATGCATCCTTGAAGGACAGGATTGGGTTGGTGGAGACCAGTGGGCAAAGGGAGGGAACGCTGCTGGGATATTTGTAAGAGAGACGAGATCAGCCCTGAACAGAGAATTCCAGTGGAAAAAAGTCACAGATAAGTTCTGGTGATGAAAATGAAGCCAGTTTGTGGTGAATCTTGATCCCCAGAGTGGGACGTTTGGACTCTATTCTGGATATAATAAGGGAGTGACAGGATGAAATAAATGTTTTTAGGAAAACTGATTTTTATGTCCCCGAACAGATTTAAAATACAGCAACCAGAGTCCAGATATTAGTCAAAATCATTTTAATGTTCCAGGAATGAAGTTTTAGAGTACACTCATATAGAGCCACAGTCTGAAAAGTATGAATTACACATGTTCTGCCCCAATCAGAGGCCTTTCAGCATAAAAACAGCATAAAAACTCAGCACAAATAATGACATGATCCAGTTACTATAAAAAATCAAGAGTTGCATCACCATTTTTCTTCCTCTGAGTTATGGAGAATTAATTGGCAGGAACTACATTAATGATTTTTTTTTGAGGAGGAGTTAATTTTATTGGCTTTACATTTGACATTTGCTTCCATCTAACTGTGAGACCAAATGTTTTTGAAGAATCCTCCTTCCTGTGGTTATATAAAATGGTTACAATAGCCCCACTTATCTGCAGGGGATACTTTCCAAGACCCCCAGGAGATGCCCAAAACCATGGAGAGTACCAAACCCTATATATGTGTGTGTGTGTGTGTGTGTGTGTTCTTTCCTATACACACATACCCATGATAAAGTTTATGTTAGGCACAGTAAGAGATCAGCAACAACAACTCATAATAAAGTAGAAAAGTCATAACAATATACTGTAATAAAACTTATGTGAATGTGGCATTATTAAGTAGAATAAGGGTTACTTGACCATAAGAACAGTCAATCTGATAACGCAGTGGTGAGTGTAAACAACATGGAGACTCTGGACAAAGGGATGATTTGTTATCTGGGTGGGACAGAGCAAGAAGCCACTCAGAATGGCATGCAATTTAAAACATAAATTGTTTATTTCTGGAATTTTCCATTTAATATTTTTAGAAGTGGTTGACAGAGGGTAACCGAAAATGCTAAAAAAAACCCCACCATGGATAAAGGAAAAGTAATATATATGGAAAACTGTAGGCTAAGAAATGTTTATTATAATAATAATGACACTTATGTAGACCTGTTGAAATGCTCTATCATTTCCCTCCTTTTGTTCACTTTCCATTTGCTATTTGCCATTGGTAAGTTCAGAGGAAATGGGATCAGGTTGTAAAAGTAAAATAAAATAAAATAAATTCTTGAGTCCTATTTAACCATTATATTAACTGTATTCTAATTATGAATTTTGGACTCAGGATATGTGAATAATGTATATTTATATATACAGTAAACCTCAACTTAAAGTTCACAATATTGATCGGAAATTATAGATGTCTATGCATTTGGACTTCAAGTGCTTCTTATATGGGGAAACAATCAATGGCAACATTGAGGCAACTTAAAAATTGATTTTACTCTTAAATTTTTGATATGTCAGATTTTAGGGGATGTATCATATGACCTTTGATTAAAAAAAAAAAAGAAAAGAAAAAGTGGCTGTTTTCTGAATGCATTTTAGTGTCCAAGTCATAATTTTTAAAAAAAAGCCTTTCCAGGTAAAAGTTATTATATCTTAATGTGTTTGGTATAAAGTTACAATTCTAAATTAGTAAGTCCTTTCCTCGGAGTATTTCTGGCTTGGATCAAGCCAAATTTGACTGATAGGCAAAATAAAACCTATTAGCCTTATCTGTTGATATAAGATTTTGGAGCCTGTTGGCTTAAAGGGGAGAGAGCCTCTGATTCCCTCCAACAGGTATTCAGGGTGGCCTATATTCACGGTATCTGTTTTTTTAATTGAATTTATTGGAGTGACATTGGTTAATAAAATTACATAGGTTTCAGGTGTACAATTCTATAATACACCATCCGTATATTGTATTGTATGTTCATCACCCAAGTCAAGTCTCCTTCCATCACCATTTATCCCTCTTCTACCTCTCCCCATTCCCTTTCCCTCTGGTAATCAGCATGCTGTTATCTGTGTCTATGATTTTTTCAATTTTTATTTTTTACTTAATTACTTCACTTTTTCCACCCAGCCCTACAAGTCACATTATCTCTGACTGTGAGGGTCGCTGGAACTGGGCCAGCGGCTCTTGATCCTATAACGGAAGCCAGTGCTTTCTTGGTGGCAAAGAGATTTAACAGATCACATATTAAATACACAATGTATTTCTTTTAATATATGACAAGGATGAGAAAGGTGACGCAGTTCCCCTTTTTATGTCACCGGTGTGAATT